CTGCCCCCTCCCCCCTAAAACCAACCCCAATCCCGCAGAAGAAGTATCCCCTCATCCTGACGCGCATCAACGAGCTCACAGCCCGCATCGCCGCCCTCGGCCCCGAGGCTGCCGTCGACGTCGACCAGGCGGCGCTGCGGGTGACGCTCGACGTCATCGGGCTGGCGGGGTTTGGCCACGACTACCAGTCAGTCAAGCAGGACAAGCCCGCCTACAACCACCTGCTGGTGCGTGAGTGTTTATTGACGGTTTGGGCGGGGTGAGAGAGTGAATGTTTGTGCAGGGGGGAACAGAGGGGGAGGTGCTTAGGAGAGGGAAGGTGGTGCTGCGCGTGTGTGTGGTGCCTGTGCCCACACACGCACACAAAATGCCTCTGGAGGTGCTGTGGAGAGTGCTGCAAGCACACCGGATGCTCATGGCTTGTTCATAAATCCAGCGTCTATCTGCATAAACTTTGTGCTGAGCTTCAACATGCGGTTGCCCCCTCGCAACCCCCGAAACCACTCGCACCAACAGCGCGTGCTGCCGCGCTGCTTCACCGAGGTCATGCTGCGCATCGCCAACCCGGCGCGCCAGCTGGCACCCAGCTTATTTGTCAACGGCGAGAAGGGTGAGCGCCTTGCCGGGGCCTCGTTAGCGCCTTGAGAAAACAGCCCGCCGGTGACGCAAGCCGCTTGAGCCTCCTGCACTCGCTGCGCCTCGTGGCACCTGGCCAGGCGGTCCCCTTCGGCACCGCCCAACTGCGCTGTTGCTCAGCGCACGCCGGCAGCTTGTGTTGCCGGCGCTGCGGCCTGCATCCGCGCCGGCGCCAAGCAGCCGCGGCCGGACTTGCATGGAGCCTTGAACAGCAGCCTGCATGACCAAACCCCCCAACCTGACTTCAATACCTCAGTTTGTTCCCATCTTTACCCTGGCTAAAAGCATACCCTTACCCACACCCACACCCTCATCCACCCCCCCCCCACACACACACACACAAACACACATAAACGTGCACAACCCCAGGCTCCAAAGCCTTTGACATGTTCCAGGCCGAGATGCGCGTACTGCTGGACGAGATGAAGCGCCGCGGGCCCCCGCCATCGGGCGACCATGACATCGCGTCGCAGCTGTACCGCGCCATGGCGGAGCACCACGAGATTACTGAGGACCGCGTGCTGAGTGAGATAGGCATCTTGTTTGTGGAGGGCTTTGAGACGACAGGTGAGGGAGTGGGGAGGACACGTGAGGGGGACGGAGTGGGGGGTACGGGCTGCAGGCCGTGTCAGTGGCAGGATAGCGGGTTGGCGGGGTGCACGCTGCAGGCTGCAGGCCATGGGCTGCTGGGTGCTGGCTGCAGGCTACAAGGGCTGCGCGGCGCAGGATGAGGGGCAAGCAAGTGGGCCAGTCAATCGCAGGGAAGGTTCGTTCCTGTGTGGGGCTAGCATCAGTGGACAGGTCAAGGCGTGCAGACTTGCTCAATCCCACCGGCCCTCACAGCCCCCGACTTCCTCTTCACCCTGCCCCTCACACCCCCCCCCCCCGACCCGGCCAGGCCACACGACGGCGTGGACGCTGCTCCACGCCGCACGTGCCCCGGCGTCCAGGACCGCGTGGCGGAGGAGCTTGACGCCCTCGGCCTGCTGGCAAAGCCCGGCTGCCCGCCGCCCCGCGAGATGGAGGTTTGTACGAGTGTGCCCGCGCACTGGGAGGGGCACAGGGGCAACGCGAGGCGGGCGCCCGCGGATGCCGCTCCGTGCCGGCGCGCTCGTCGGCACAGGCGTCAAAGGCATAACTCCGGCACAAGTATTTGAACATTCTCATCCTGTCATGCACCCCTCACAAACAAAAAATATGCAGTTTGAGGACCTCAGGAAGCTGCCCTACCTGGTGGCCGTGGCCAAGGAGGCGATGCGCGTCCTGCCCGTCGTGTCCATCATGGGCCGCGTCACCGAAAGGCTCGTCAGGATCGGGAAGTTCACGGTCCCGCCAGGCGTGGTGGTGAGCACGCCGCTGTACGCGATCCACAACACAAAGCACAACTGGGAGGCGCCGCAGGAGTTCCGGCCAGAGAGGTGGCTGGACGTGCCGGTGGAGACGTTTGTCTACAACTCCCAGGCGGACGCGTCCTCGACAAGCGGCGCCGGCTTTGCGCCGGGCAACAAGCTGGCGGCGGCGGCAGCGGCGGCGGCGAGCAGGGAGGGGATCACCTTCATGCCGTTCAGCGACGGACCGAGGTCGTGCGTGGGGCAGAGCCTGGCCAAGGCGGAGGTCATTACGCTCCTGGCCAAGGTGGGCGGCGGATCCTTGTTTCTGGGCGTGTGTGGGTGAGAGGGGAAACGTGGGTGTTTGAGCGTGTGTGTGTGTGCGTGTGCGTGTGCGTGTGCGTGTGCGTGTGCGTGTGCGTGTGCGTGTGCGTATGCATGTGCATGCACGCCCGCGCACGCACGTGCGCACATGTGTGCGCGTGTGTGGACATGGTGTCGCGCTACGGTGTGAGTCCGGTGGTGCTGGTCAGCCCTGCAGGTACAGGCTGAGAAGAACAACCGGGGTACGCATTGTGGCTGATATTGCGCACGTCGCGCAGTGCCGCCTTGCATGCAGCAGCACCGCGTGCATGCGGCCTCTGTGTTTGCGGCAATCCTCTGGCTGCAGCCTGTGGCCCCAGACTTTGCAGGGACCGCTGCCCCGCCCTCTGCAGCTTCGTTTTCATGGCAGCAACAAGCCCAAGGCCCAGCAAGCTCCCACTGATCCCTGCCGTTTGCCCGCCTGTCACATCCCTCAATAAAACGTCTACCCCGTCCATGACTCATCCCACCTACCTGCCCGCCATCCTCCTGCCGCCCCCAGATTCTGGGAAGCTTCACAATCACGCTGGCCCCCGAGATGGGCGGCTTGCAGGGAGTCCTGGCCCGCGAGAGCACACACCTCACACTGCAGACGCGCGGCACCAAGGGCATCCGCATGCACATGACGCCCCGCAGCGAGGCCGTCGCCGGCGGCGCCGTGTGCGCGCCCGCGTGCGCGTGAGCGTGCACCGCGGGGCCTGCTGGACTGCGCGGCCTGTGCTGCTTGGGACAGCTGCGAGGGCGCGCCGCGAGGGGTGGGGGGCGGCGGTGAGATCGGTTTACATTTGAAAAACGGCGCGGTACAAGCAGTAGTGATGGCCGTGTGCAGGGGCCAGAAGCTTTGCGAGTCCGCCGCTGAAAAGATGCGGCTCCTGCGTAGAGTCACTCCACGCACGCCCGATCACCAGACAGCGCGTTCAAACCACAAACTCTGCCGCCAACCCGCTTGGCGTGCATGAGGGCGAGCCTTCGTTGGCTGCCGGAGCGGTGCGTGTTTAATCACACCTGTCCAAACACCACAAATCCCACTTGCGAACGATCCTCGCGTTGCTGCACTGCCTGCGTGCCACATGTGTCGCCAGCCAAGCTTTTGTGTTGTGTGCACGCACCCCGCCTCCTAGAGATTAGTTATTTGCACAGCTCTGGTGACAGGGCTGATACCCCGAGATGCAATGACAACACATACACGCACGGCAAGCTCAGCACATGCGCCTGCCATTGTACTGCCAGCAAGAAATCATCCACGACTGCTTCACGTGCCTTCTGAATTTACGTTCCCAGATGTGTGTGTCGCGTCTGCAACGATGCATGTACTCCTCTTCGTCCTTCCTTCCCTGTCTGCACGGCTCTAACATGCTCCTACCACAGGCACCAGCATGGCGCGGCAATCAGCCGTACACGGCTATGATCGCCAGACAGCCAGTGCTGGCGCATGACACATGCATGCGTGTGTGCGCATGCTCATGTAACATCTCCACTTTTCTCCTGCTCTCTGGCCGACTTCTGATTGGCGCGCAATCCACAGTCTGTGCGTGGTAGGCGCAAGGTGTGGCCGCTTTGCTGCGCCGCGCGCGAGCCAGCTCTGGACAGACTGCCATGCTTTTTCTGTTGGTCAACCGGGCGGGGCAACATGCATCCCCGGCGCACAGCCACATCAGTGGCGCGCTATCAGCACGTGCGCTGCACCGTGGGAGCGCGCTCGACTTTGTCAGCACAAGGGTTGCGGTGGGAGTGGTGACACCACCTCAACAAGTTTATTAAAGCCTGGGCTACCCAAGGCAACAATAATGAGATGATTGTCGCAGAGTGTTTTCAGGGCGCTCCAGTTGATGCCCTGAAACCTCGTTGCCAGCAAGCCACCAAGCAGCCGCACTCGCTGGCGCGCCGCATTTGGCGGATGTCAGCGCGGTTCCAACGGTACAACAAATTAACCGTTTTGGAAGTTTTGAGGACGTATCTAGCGTAGTATACTCACCTGTTCTAGGACGTGTTCAGCGTCCACAAGCCGCTGGTGGTCTCGTTGGCGGTCGCTTCTAGGCAACGACCAGGCACGCACCTTGCCCGATGGGTCTGTAGCTGCAAGCAGGGGTGCAGATGGTACGTGTCAGAAATTTAATTGACACTCGAACGACTGACTCTCTACACCAATTCAGCCGAGCCCATCGTCACTGCGTGCGGAATCGGCCACTGCGCCAGGATCTCGTCTGTTGAGTTGCAGCACACACACAGGTTGAGCCGAACTGGTCGCGATCATGTCTCGACAATCCCACTGGTTGTCACGCACCTGGCCGCGCAAGCCCTAGCCGCCATCCGCGCATCGGCAGCCTCGCTGCACAGTCACTGATTCTTGTGAAGACGACCCTGAGCGCCGCGGGGCAGCTTGTGTTATGCTCCGGGCCGTGAAAGTCCCCGAGGACCTGCTGTCTGTCAGCAGCGGCGTTCTGGAGGTGCGCTTGGGCACCCATGTCCTGCCTGTCCCGCAACCGCGGCTTCGTGCCAGCGGTTTACGTGGCGTGGCGGTCAAGAGCCCCCGAGGCCGCGCCGTGTGCAGCTGGCCGCTGCGCCTGGTCCTCGAACCAGCTGGCCTGCTGCTCAACTCTGAAGGTGTTCGACAAGGCTTCGCTGTCTCATGAGGGGGGATCGCGACCCCCGGCGCTCTGATGAACAATGATCGATGGCGCCAGCCGCCACGCGCCCCACACAGTTGATTAGCACAACCCCACCCTGCTGCTTGCCCACGCTGCCGTGCCCCGCCGCAGGAATACGTGCGCCAGCGCTTTGAGCATTTCCTCCTGGGCCTGACGCGGCGCCTGAGCGCGCTGGCGCCCGGCGCGGACGCCGCCCTCGTGCGCCGCGCCGCGGGGGAGGCGCTTGGGGCGCTGCCGCCGGCGGACTATGGAGGAGTGCCCGTCGAGAGCCTGGGCCTGCAGCTGGTATTCAGGCACGACTGCCGGTGCGCCGGCAGCCATACAGCAGGACGCCAGGGGGCGACAGACGCGTGGCAGGAGAGGGTGGGCCGGCTCTGGGTGTAGGGGGCCTGCGGCGCCTGCCCGCGCGGCTGCGGCAGCTGCGCGGCAGCTGCAAGGCGGCAGGCGGGCCTGCGCCGGCCAGCGGCGGCCAGCGACACGGCGTTGTGGCCGGCATCAGCACCCGGGCGATTACATCGCGTGCGCGACAGCATGGGCTCACGGTGGCGCTGCACGTGCGCAGAGGCGTTTCTGTCAGCTGCAACAAGCGCATCTGGCTGGTGGTGTGCCAGCCACGCCAAACCTCATTCATCCCCTTCATCAAACCCTCTCCCGACCCCCTCTTGCCCGCCTCCCTTTCTCCTCCTGCCCTGCGCCCTCTGCGCCCTGTCCCAACTACACCTGCCCCTGCGTCCGGCCCCGCAGCGCCTCCGGCTGCCTCGACCCCGGCTGCGCGCTCTGCCGCCACAACACTTCGCGCCGGTGCGCCGCAAACTTCCGCCGCAAGTACCTATCAGACGAGCGCCTCACGGCTGACTGCGGCGCGGGTCTGCGCGTGGAGCTGGTGGACCCGTCCACGGGTGACACTTTCCTGGAGCAGCTGCCTGGGGTGCGCGTGGAGGTGGTTGCGCTGGACGGCAACGCGTTTGAGGCTTTGGCGGCCAGGTGCGCGCGGGGTGACGCCGCGCTGCACGATATAAAGAGGCGGACGCCTGCAGACGGCCACGGTTGGGGACCGCTGCTTTGATGGGCGGGACCTGGGATACTGACGGGCCGGTGAATCAGGCCCAGCCTCCACCGACTGGCTGCCGCCGGCCTGTCGTTGGCGCGGCCTGGCGTGGACGCGTGCGTGTCTTTGTGCCTCTCTCTCACTTGCCATGCGCCTGGCCGCCCTATCTTCAGCAGCGGCGCAGGAACGGGGTCCATCGACGCCGCGTTTGACGAAATCAGCGTGCTCCCAACAAGAGGGGCGGGCCCCTGCTCACCGCCGCGGGCACCGCCACCAATGACGAGCTGGGGCGCCTCGTCCTTGTCCTCACCGTCTCCAGGGGCACGGCTCTGCTCACTGGCTTGCAGGTGTTTGGGGCAAAAAGCAGGCGCGCACCATGGATCATCGATGCGCCGGTGTCTGCATCGACGAAGCTTGCGCACAAGGCAGCGGTGCAGGGCCTCGGGTGCCATCAGTGCACCACTGGGTGCGCACATGCAGTCCGCAGCAGGCAGGCAGGAGCTTGGGTCCCGCTGACTGGCGGCACTGCGTGACGCCGCTTCTTATGCTGCAGTTTGACGCTTGCGCACAAACACTCTGCAGGTCACCGACAGCTGCGAAGCTATCTTGGACGGCCGCAAGCCCCCAATTCGCCTGCTCGCCCGCGCGCGCCACCGGGACGGCCGCTCCCTGTCGATGCGGGCAGCGGTGTCGGAGAGCTTTGTGGTGGTGACTCAGCGGCAGAAGTGTGACCTCAAGGCCGATTTTCCCAGCGTGGACGACCCGGTGGCTGTGCTCGTGCACATGGGCGCCAAGACGGTGAAGAAGCTCCAGGACCTGCGTAGCGCGGCCCACAAGGTAGACGCACGGCCGCGCAAGCGAGCAGCAACGCGCATGCGCCAAGCCGGTGTCGTCTGCTTTTACGTGTCATCATGCACACTTGATGACACTCGCGCGGCCCCGCCCCGGTAGGTGCTCAGCGGGCCTTGCGCTCCTGCCTGGAGCTCTTGATCATATATTTCCAGACGCCATTGTGCATGGTGCCCCGCCCCCCATGAATCGCCTCTGGTGGCTCAGGCGTCTTTGCCGCTCCCTGAGGGCATCATCAACTCCGTGGCAAAGGTGGGGGACTTCCAGGTCCTGGCGCGGCAGACGGACCATGACCCACAGCTGCACGCCATCGTGAGTCGCCCTCCCCAGGCACTTGAAGAGGTGTGGTTGATGCCAGCAGGAATGATCACCCTCTTGAGGGGATAGGGTTTAGGGCCTCCTAAAAGTCCAGGGCTGGCCGACGGAGGGAGCGGGGTGGCGGGGCAACTACTAGAGGGGGCTGGCTGCTTCTTACCAAGCACTGCCAGCTGCAGCTCGTGACTGCTGCGGCCTTCACTCCCTGTCGCACCGGCAGCTCCTGCAAGTGCTCAAGATGTCCAAGGACAAGTGGGAGCAGGCGCGGGAGCACGCGCTGAGGGCGGTGGTGCCAGACAACATGATGCGAGCTTGGTTCGCAGACAGGAGGTGAGGGGGCCCGACAGAGGATGAATTGTAATCCGCTGTCCACCTGCCGGCTGTCTTGACGTGAAAAGGGCGGTGAACAAGGGCGACTCGCCTCGGACAGCATTGCCTGCTCTGCTGAAAGGCGTTTACGGATTTGTCGATGCAAGGCACCACTTGACGCCGTGTCGCTGATTACTCCACACTGTGATGACTGTCACACTGTGGCACACGCCACTGGCTGGCCCAATCATCACTGACTGCACCGCTGCGAGTTTGTTGCCAATCCTCCACCGCGCACTTTGCCCAGCAATGCATTATTGCACGACCTTATCCACCTCATCAAGACAACTGCCCCCCTCCGTAGGGCAATGGATGTGGGCCTGCTCTTCACCTGCTGCCTGGCCAGAGTGGAGCTCAGGACGCCCGTCGGTGAGCCACAATGGGTGACGCGCATGCCTCAGTTGCCGCTAAAGTGTGCACGTGGTTCAAATCATTCAATCCGTTGCCCTTGATATCCTAACATTCACTGCTGGGACCCATGTAAACACGTAGCCGACGCTTTGCGGCCCCGGCTTGCTCCTTGGCTCCTGCAGCGCTACTGCTGCGCCGAACAGGGGAGGGAGGGCGGCCGGTCCTGGAGGCGGTGCCGGCGCCGCAGCAGACGTCCGACCAGCGGGTGCTGGTGCAGCAGCTGCAGCAGGCCGCGGCCGCGGGCTGGTGGAGCCCCGGCCATCCGGGGAGGTCGGTGTTCCGGGTCAATTCCAATGAGTTTGCAGAGGTGAGCAGAGAGTGACACAAGACATGACGCGGCTGTCTTTGCACGCGCCCTGGTCCCACAGGGGGTGCACAACTCTCATCACCACTTCACTGCACAGTCTGCAGCGGCTGCACAACTCTCACTCGGAGTGCACATACAACCTTGATTGCCCGGCCGTCATCAATTGCCAGAAGTCTCCCTGTACTCGCCAGGATTCTCACAGCTGCTGCTCCTGCCACCGTGTCCCGCACAGCGTGAGGGAAAGCTGTCACCCTTCCTTCTGGCGTCTCTGAGTGGGACCCTGAATGGCATGGAGCCCGCGGCCGCCGCTTGCAGCTTGATGGCAGCAGCTGGGCCAGCAGCAACGGCAGCCGGCGCTGCTCCCACCGACCCATGCGGTGGTTCAACCTCCAGCTTCGTACTGGACAAGTCCGTGCCGCGGGCGTTCTTATTGCAGATGCAGCAGGAGCAACAGCAGCAGAAGGATGAGCAGAAGCAGGGGGAGGAGCACGCGCAGCAACAGGTGCCAAAGCAGGAGCCAAAAGAGGACTTGCAGCAGCAGGGGCAGCACTGGCAGGGAGGTGAGAAACACCAAGACGAGCAGCACCTTGAGGCTCAGTCGCCGCTGCCGCAGCAGCAGCAGCAGCAGCAGCAGCAGGTGCAGCAGCAGGTGCAGGTGCAGCCGCAGGTGCAGCAGCAGCAGCAGCAGCAGCAGCAGCAGCAGGAGCTTGAACAAGATGAGCATGTGATGACTGCTGGGAAGCGGAGGCGCTTGCACGGTAGTGCCTGGCTGTATGCCGCAAGGCAGCAGACGGGAGTGCCATGGGCAATGCAGAATCAGGGCAGTGGTGGCTCTGGGATGCTGGAACAGCCTAGCGGCCTGCGACCGGAGGCAGCTGCAGCAGCTCACCTGGCGAGCCGGACCCCACCTGTACTGGGGATAAACCCGGGTTCCATCAGCCCCTCCCACGGGCAGCACCCCACAGCAGGCGCCCGTGTCACTGGGGTGCTGCCGTCACGATTGCCCACCGTCGGCGAGGGCGAGGGCGGCCGCACAGCAGCAGCGCAGCCGATTGCTGGGCCGCCGCTGGATGTCGGGTTGCCGCATGACAGCGAGTTGGATGATGCCATCGACTGCCTCCTGCAAGGGCTAGCAGCAGGTCTGGACAGCCTCCTGTGAACAGTGCACCTGGGGGCCTTGGCGTCCAACATTAGACCAATTGGCTGCCATCTGCTATCCCATGCCCAGGTGGCGGCAGTGGGACCGAGGCGTGCGAGTCATGCGTGGTGGCTGCTGGGCGCAAGCTTGCCACGCCACACACAGGCAACCCAATTGTGTCAACTTCAGTTCACGGCTGGAGGCCTGCAAGAAATGTCTCACGTAGATTGCTGAGCTGGGTGATATTGCTGCTATCGTATTTGTGCATATTCAAAGGCAAGAACGAGTTCCTCGGATTGTTGCACAGCGAGTGCACCACACCCAGCCTCCAGCACCAGGCAAATGGCTGGTTGATTGCTATTGAGATGTTCTTCCCCATCACTGCTTTACTAATCTGCACACTGCATCAAGCCTCAAGCATCAAGCACTTGCCCGTGAGTATCATACCAAGCAGCCGAGCAGACAGTGCTTTCCTGGATGCTGCAGGTGCCCCCCCTTTATGCGTCCCTATCATAGCAGTTGCTCCCGTCCTACTACCGATGGACTGTAATGTGCCCTTCCAACATTACTGGCGTTTCTGGGTCCAACCTGCATCCAATTTGTCACAGCTGAATTACCCTGACCTCTCTGGCCTGATGTGCTCGCATGTGCCAACCCACCGCCCCTACAAATACTCCCCCTGCGCACACATCTGTTCGCGCACATTGTTATTGCCTTGGTGGATGAACGCCTGGCGCAGACCCGCATTTCCACCAGAGTCGCACATGAAGTCCTCCAGCCACACTGTTCGTTGCCGTGGGGTGGCTTGTGATGCCGCTCGTTTTTGTCGGCGCGATGCGTAGGGCCGTCAATCCACACTTATGTACACATGCACACGTAAGTAAATACACAAACACACGCGTGCACATCGATGCGTGCCCTTTCGTGCATATACTCGTTGTTGCCGACGCACCTTGCTGATTACTCAGGCCGTACTTGCCTACCTGCACACTTGCGTGATTACAAACTTCCCTGGGGCGAGTACTGCTGCCCATCCCTCTGCCTAGCACCAAGGCAGTAATTCGTTTTTACGCCCTGAGCAGGGAAGGGCCACGCACATGCTACTGCACGAGCCCGTTCCAGCCAGCCACCATCACACTGGCCATCCGCCCAACCCAGCACCTGTCGTCCTTACTAATTGCAAAAGCAAAGTACCCTCCGCAATACTTACAACTCAAGCATATGTTATCTATCACATGATATCTATCATTTATCTGGTAATCCTGCCCCTGGCTCTGAGATCGCGCACGCGCCATGTGCGGAAGAAACGCAACGCGCAACTAGCCTCCCCACCTGGCACCCCGGCACTACTCCCCCCATCCTGTAGTTGCACGCCAGCGCGCATGTGGGCTCTGTGACAGCCGTCACGATTCATTGTCCATCCTGCAAAGTACGGCTTTGGTGCAGCTGCCGCGCCAAAGTAGCCGTGCAGCAACCAGTGGACTGGGACCTGGCTCAATCACGACCATGTTTTCGGCTGGCATCGCCGATGCCCCTCGTTTTTCCCCTGCTGACGTCCAATGCCAAAGTGGGATCATATGATCACAGATCAGCTGTGCGCATCACACCTGGTCACACCTGGCTGGGGCCAGCGGCCTCGCACCGCCGTCCAGCGGAGCGCCCAGGTGACCAACACTGCACGGCAGCTGGTCGTTGGGCGGAAGCCAGTAGTAACCCGACTGAGCACGTCTATTTGTGGCCGTGTGCGGTGTGCATTGCCAAGTTCAAAGTTTCAAGCCTTCTCAACGCAGGTAAGGAGCGTGGCCGGCGCGCAGAGCTCGCATTCATCGCGCACAGCCAGGGCCTTATTAGAGCTGTGGCCATCAACTCGCTAGGAGGCGTCTGTGCGAAGCGAGAGCGGCACAGTGGCCTCCCATTGTATTCTATACATGCTTTGAGTTGCGCGGGACAAGCCCGCTTGCTTTTGGCGACGAGTGCAGCGACGCATGCAGCAGTACAGTGTCAAAGACGTCCCCATTTTTCGCCGCTTTTGTACGCAGCGACGCAATAAACACACAGTGTATGATCCTGGGGTCGAGTGCAGCTCTTGAAGCGACGCCGCTGCAACCCGACCAGCCGCTCGGCTCCCGAGGCGCCGGCCACTGAGACCGGGTGCGCGCAGGGCGGCGCCCTCGCGGCCGGGATGTCCTCGGCGGCAGTCAAGGTGCCGGAAGACCTCCTGGGCGTCAACCGCTCAGTGCTCGAGGTGAGAGCCTGACAGCGCCGCGGCCGAACGC